AGAGGCTAGGCCTGATGGAACTGGGCCTGACTCTCTCCCTCTGAGGGCGAATGATATCAGATGGACTGGCGACAGGGCTCTCCTTACTCTGGCTAGGCCCAAATGGTCAAACACACACACACATGCAAAGTGACCAGACATCATAATGGCAAAGGAGGACAGGGCTCCGTAAAACATTGAAGAACAATGTAGGACATTGCAAAATAAAAAACACCAAAAACACTCCTAGAAATACAAATTCCTGCTTCTTAGTCATATTCAAGCATATTCTTAGTCATGTTCAAGCAGGGATATTCAAGCAGGGATGCAGTGGCTCAAGTGGTTAAGATGCTGCATGATGGGGTGAGCCCCTGTCACTAGTCCCAGCTTCTGCCAACCTAGTAGTTCGAAAGCATGCAAATGCAAGTAGATAAATAGGTACCACTTTGGTGGGAAGGTAAACAGCGTTCTGTGCAATTATCCTGGCCGCATGATCACAGAGTAGTCTCTTACAACGCTGGCTCTTCGGCTTAGTAACAGAGATGAGCACTTCCCCCGCGGTTGGATATGACTTGACAACCTTGTCAATGTGGAATACCTTTACCTTTAAAAGGTACCTTTAGTAATATTAAAAATGGAGGACATTTTGAAAGTTTACGGATAGAAGGTTGAAATGTAGGACGTGTCCTGGAAAAGGAGGACATCTGATCATTCTGTGTGTGTGTGTGTATGTGTGTATATAGGGGGGATAAGTTGCTTGTTTCAGCTGACAGCACGATTCTTCAAACAAAAAACAGCAGCAGCCTTGTTTAAAAATAAACCAGGTCAAGACAAAAAGCTTCTGACACCTGCTGAATGTAAAGCCACTAAGTGCTAACCAAAAAAGGAGATAAGTGTGCAAAGAGATCTTGTAGCACCTATGAAACTAACTGAAAGAAAGAAAGGAGATCTTGTAACATTTTCAAAATTTGTTTTTAGCAGGTCCAGGAGAAGACAGTCCATTTTCTGTGAAACAGTCTCTGAGATCATGTTAGTGCATGCCCTTCACATATGGATTTGGGTAACTGATAACAGTAATGACAGCTTCTGTCTTAGATATGGCAAAAGCAGGAGATGGCCTTCAGCCTATTTGATTTTCAAAATATGACTACCAAAAATCCATATTAGGACAATAATCTTTAATAGGCTAACCCAAAGATCACAAAACTGTGTGGGCTTTTCAAATCAGGCCTAAATGGTAAACAAGCAAAGTGTGAGGGGGTTGACTTGTAATGAAGCCAGAGAGTCTGCATTTAGTCAGTTTTAAAAAGGAATGGGGAAGAGGTTAAAGACTTTCAGATTAGACTCTGCTAGGTACTGTGATGGTTTATAGTAGCAGCTAAGAATATCTCTAAGGCAACTGGGTTGAGA